CTCAGGTTAAGGGCTCAGTCCCATCAGACTGCCTCCCCACTTCAGATGCCAGCCACAAGTCCCAAGCCAGCACATGCGTGTATTTCTGAGCACTTGGCTGCAATTGAGGATTTTCCATGATACCCTCCTCAGGTCTGGGAATTTGCTAGATCTGTTCACAAAACCCAGAGGAAGAGTTTACTTACTAGTAACTGATTCATTATAAAGGATTCCACTCAGGAATAGGCAAATGGGCAAGATGAGTGGGGCAGAAGGGACAGAGATGTCATGCCCTCTCTGGGGGCATCACCTTCCCCATACCTCGGTGTGTTCACCAACCTTTAAGCTCCCTGGACCCTGTAGTTCAGGGATTCTTGTGGAAGCCTCACCATACAGGTGTGATCAATTATTAACTCAGTCTCCAGCCCCTCTCCCCTTCCTGGAGGATGGGAGACAGGGCTGAGAGTTCCAAGTTTCTAATCATGGCTTGTTCTTCCCGGTGAATAGCCCCATACAGAAGCCACCCAGTGTTGCCTCATTAAAACAAACACACTCCTAACACCCAGGAAATTCTAAGGGATTTTGGAGCTCTATGGAAGTAACTGGAAACAAAGACCAAATATCAGGGGGAAAAGATGCTCCTAGCACTAAAATAGCTCAGGAAATTACAAGGGTTTGAGGAGTTCTGTGTCAAGGGCAGAAACCAAATATACATTTCTAATTTGGTCATAGTTTCATTCTTTTCTCCATTAAGGAGGTATCTCATGGGTTACCATCAATAGCACATTTCTCCTCTACCTCCCAAAAGAACCCTCTCCCCTTCCCTGTGCCCTACAGTAAGGGTGTCTCTGGGCCTCTGTGCACTGTGCAAGTGGGGAGAGACATCATCCAAGCCACTCAGCAGCCTTACTGCTCCCTTCAACTCTCCCCCAGAGAGAGAGGACTCCGAAAGAGAAAGCCTTGGAACAAAGGCAGGGTGGGGGACACAGAGGGTGCCTACTCCAGGGTCCCTCACACCTGCTCTCCACACCCTCACCTCCCTCGTGTCTGCCAAGCTATCAGGAGCTAGCCCACCCATGCAGCAGGTGCCCAGACATGGAACGAATAGGGAAGCTGATACACAAACCTGTCATTGGAAGTATCTCAGGGTGTTCCCCATACAAGAGAAAGGGGACCAATACTAATCATGCCCGCGCTCTGCAGATTTGTTTGCTGTGCCCAAACCTACCCTTGCTTTCCCAACAGGCTGCCCAAACCATCCCCACACCTCACCACAACCCCACAACCCACCTGGCTGCATGTGTGCCCTGTTTCTGAGCCCACCAGCCACTGAAGCAAAATAGACAACACCCATCACCAACGCACATCCTTCCAGCAGCAACCATCCACTCAGATCCACAGAAGATTTGTTTCCTTACTGTATGAAAACAACTTTTTTGAGGAATTTTAAAAATGTGTTCAGTTCTATGTAAATAATTCTGGAGTTCTATGCAAATGAAGCAAGTGTATAGAGGGTCATTTAAAGCACAGGAATGTATCTTTTGCAAATCAGTTACTCAGCTTCAACACATTTGAGCTCTGTCCCCATGACATTTAACATCTGCAATGCTTCTGCAAGGTACTGGGCATTTCTTCATCAAACTTCCCCTAGGAAATCAGCATGTCTCTGAGTCTGGGGTACAGAACCAGCTACAAGGTGAAGGTCACAAACTCTTCAGTGTTGTATTCAGTTTGTGGAAAGAGAAAGGAGTCATACTCATAATGTTTCTTTACCATGAAAAATTAAGGAATCCCCTCTGCTCTGCTTTATATTTTATGTGCTATTGCTCATACCCAGAGACCATCATTTCTGATGGATCCAATGGCAGGCTTCAGCATGGCCAGCACTCATGAGGACCTACTATGTGCAGAGCCCCATAAACACAGTTAAGTGCTATAGGAATACAGAGAAGAAGAAAGAGACTCTCTGGCTGGGAGGATGGATACACAAACCACTTACCAGAATGGAAAGCAGCATGAAATCAGTGTCATTAAAGAGTCAAGTAAGACACACCATGAAAGGGGTCATTGAATCCATCCTGGTGAGTGTACAAGCAAACTACGTGGAGAAAGTAGCATTGGTACTGAATATTGAAAACCACTGGGTTGTCAGTTATAGCTACAGCAGGAGCCCTCAACCTACAGTATTTATTAAGAATCACATGGTTGACAGAGATTCGACTTCTGGAAATATATCTGAAGAGACCTGAAACACTAATTCAAAAGAATACATGCATCCCTATATTCATTGCAGCATTATTTATAGTAGACAAGACTTGGCAGCAGCCCAACTGTCCACCAGTAGATGAGTGGATACAAAGCTGTGGAACATTTGCACAATGGAATACTACTTTGCCATAAAAAAGGAAATATTACCTTTTGTGACAGCATGGATGGACCTGGAGAACATTATGGCAAGTGAAATAAGCCAGTCAGAGAAAGACAAGTACCATATGATTTCACTTATATGTGGAATCTAATGAACAAAATAAACTAACAAACAAAATAGATAGAGACTCGTAGATATAGAGAACAGACTGACAGCTGTCAGAGGAGAAGGGGGCTAGGTGAAAAAGGTGAAGGGATTAAGCAAAAAAAGAAAAAAAGCCCCTCATAGATATAGACAACAATATGGTGATTGCCAGAGGAAAAAGGGAGTGGAGAGAGGTAGAAAAGAGTAAATGGGGGGATAAATGGTGATGGAAGGAGACTTGACTTGGGGTGGTGAACACAATACAATGGAGAGATGATGTGTTATAGAATTATACCCTTGAAACCTATATAATTTTATTAACCAATATCACCCCAATAAGTTCAATTATAAAAAAGAAACACATCAGTGGGAAGGGCAGGGATTTCCTTTAGAAATGCAGCAACCATGAGAGAGATGAATTCTATCAGTAAGAGAAGCACAGACAAAAAGTTCTCTGCTTTGACTGCATTTATACACCCTACAAGCTCACTTAAACTGCAGCTTTTTTTCCAGAAAAGCAGGTTTCAAACATTTTGGTCTCAGAACACCATTACTCTCTCATAAATTACTGAGGACCCCAAAGAGCTTTGTGCTAATATGACTTATTAAAATATAAATAAAAATTTTAAATAATTGATTAAGATATCTTTATTATATTAATAAATATACAACATATTTATTAATATGCATTAATATAACATTCTTAATATATATTATATACTAAAATTTTTAAGCACTTATTATTCATTTAAAATAATAATGAGTCACTACATATTGACAGATAACCTTATAATAAAAAATAACAATGTTTTCCAAACTAAAAAAAATTATTGAAAAGGTGGCACTGTTTTATAATTTTGTAAATGTCCTGGTATATCTGGCTTCATAGAAAACAGCTGGATTCTCATATCTGGTTCTCCATTTAATCTATTAGCATATCACAAGTCAGCCTCTAAAAAACTCCTCTGTACATTCATGAGAAGATGAGAGAGTAAAAGGTAAACTAATTTGTTACTAAATTAATTTGGAGTTTTCAGATCTCCTGAACCAGTCTCTGGGACCCCTGGGGACCTCCTGGACTCACTTTGAGAGCCACTGTTCTCTGAGTCCATTGGTCTGAAAGGTGGTTAGCACGTGAGATTCCGAGCCCGGTTGGAGGACCACTGCATGACACCCATGTGAAGCGCTGAAATACCAAGTGTTACACAGATCCAGGGAGACAAGAAAGGTGTCCAGGAACTAACTCTGTTTAAGGTCATGAGACAGAACCAAAAATTAAGTTAAGTAGCAACTGTGGGTAAAGATGAATAGAGAAATGTCAGAAAATACCTAAAATTGCATTTCTTTAAAATTTTCTCTAGAGGAAAATTTTCTCTAAATGAAAATTATTTTCATTTTATTGTTTCTCTAGAGGAGTTCACAATGATGACTGCACATCAGAAGACACCCTTTCCCATTTTACATCATTTTTATTTTTCAATTTCAGTTGACACAAATTATTATATTAGTTTCAGGTGTACACCTCAGTGATTAGACATTAATAACTTACTTAGTGATCATCCCGAAAAATCTTGCACCCATGTGATACCACACATAGTTTTTAGAACATTATTGGCTATTTTCCTAACACTGTACTTAACATCCCCAAACTATTCTGAAACCACCAATCTGCACTTCTCAATCCCTTCACCTTTTTCACCCATTATCCCTAGCCCCTCCCATCTGGCAACCATCAAAATGTTCTTTGTATCTCTGAATCTGTTTCTGTTCTGCTTATTCAGTTATTTTGTTTTCTATACATTCAATTGTTAATGTATATGTATTTATTTTCATTTTATTGTTCATATTTTTGACCAAAAAAGACCCTGTTGTAAAAACAACAGAAAGTTTGGTTTAAAAACACAACTATCCTGGGCCTCCCTTCGGAAGACTCTGAAGGAGAGTGGGGCGGGACAGGGTGCAGGTCTTTTTAACCAGTTCCACCGGGGACTTGGTGTGCTGCCTGGGCTAGGGACTCTGCCAGAGATCCTATATTTATGTTTTGTACATAAAGAAAAGGCTAATCAATTGTATGAAAATGACATTCATTTTTATTTTTATTCCTATGCAAAAATATCTTCCTAGGATTCTGAAAGATACCTAGCTTTTTAAAAAGCTATAATACGTACTTATAATCTATGTATTATAAGCATAGTACCTATATTTCCTACAGTTCTTTTTCACACATACTGTTTTTCAAAACCCAAATCTAAATTAAAGGGATAGAAAATGTCACTTCTATTCATAGACAAATAATGGATTCCTTGTTTCCATAATAAACTTTTGAAAGAGTCTGTTCCTACTGGAAACTCATTGTTACTGAATAAAAATCTTCTTGGGGAGGAAAACAGTACCTTCATATATAATCTACATTGGGGATGCAAATTGTAGAGAAACAGACACCAGAGGATTTGCATTTAATAAAATCTAGAGCAAGTCATTCAGAAGCATCACTACTGTGTACAGAAGCCTTTCCCATCAAGACCAGCCTGACCTTTCCAGGAGACTGGACTCTTGATCAAGGAAAATACTCCATTCACTAGAAACCCTACATTGCTGCTAAGAAGGAAATTCACCAGAATCAGCAAGAATGGAAAGTGGTGAGTCAGTGTCAATTATTAAATTTTGAAAGAAACTTTCAGGGTGGGGACTTACTGAGGGATTGGGGGGCCAGGGAAGAACAACAGGGAAAAACTGGGACAACTGGAATTGAACAACGATTTAAAAAAGACAACCTTTCAATAATCCTAATGTTTATTTTTGACATCACAAAGTCATAACTGAAGCAAAGAACAAGGAGAAATATCCTTAACTCTGGCTAGAAGATACAAAATATAAAAACATATGCCAGAGACCAACTATTTAAAACTCTTAGTAACATTTTTATAATTCTAGTCACATTTAATTACTAGCTGCTGATTTATTTTTGCTGCATATAATTTAGATTGGTATTTATTCTAAAAGATGAAATCTATTGAAAATTATTTTTATAAAATGAGGACTTGGATATTAAAGCATTCTTTTCCAGTCTACTAAAATTTTATGGTAAATGAAATGACTTCCCACAAGTGCTTTGTTATAAGGAAAGTGCAAAAGGAGAATCCATACATATAGAGAACTTGAACTATCCTTTATTCACGCAGCTTGCTTTGGGGTCTTAGGCTAAGGATGAAGGACTTCCCACACACAGATGAGGAAGAACCTGAGCCGTTATTGCATGAAGTCAAACTATGTGGAGTCTTTCTCTGTGTGTTCACTCTGAAGATACAAATATTAGTGTCAGCATAGAGTAAAACCCAAACTTTAGATTAAAAAGTTAGCATTTTAAATATCAATAAATAATGACAAGAACCATTCAAAAGTGCTTTTTAAAGCACCTTGCAAGAAAAACTAATATTTTTAAAAGTGCCACAGCTCTTCAAGATCTGGTCTCAAACGATAACACAGCAAGGCATCTATGTTCCTCAGCATGAAAGTGTTAAGTTTTTGGATCCAGCTGCTATGAGGCTTAAAAGCTGGGAAACAGAGGCAGCTCCTGGGAAGGCCTATGAACAGATGCCTGCTGTGTGGGCAAACCAAACTTCAACAAAATCCTAACAGGTTAACTAATTTGGCTTCAGTTCTTTAAAAGTTTTGGACTTTATTTCCAGTTTAAGATTTCATAAACAGTATATATTATTTTCTATTTAATAGTTAATATTTTGAACATTTCAACATAACTTGCTGAGTGTGCCTTTCCCTGTGTTCTCCTGGAGGTTTCCCATGGTATAATGACTATGACATAATTTCCCAGGTCAGGAGTGGAACCACCAATGTTGAGCCTCTTGCGAGGTAGACTTAGCACTGTTATTCTTAGGTGGGTATCTGCCTCCTCCCATGAGGGGGCTCTGTTCCCCAGCAAGGCAGGCCGAGCTGGTTAGCAGCATGAGGAGAGGGACGCCCACAGTGCCCGGGCTGGCACCTGAACCAGGTGGTGCAACAGCACACTATTGTCACTGGCCTGTCCAGACCTCATTCTTGGCACTTTCCGGACAGGCAGAGAAATAGCACCAACATGGATGCTGTCCACCAATAACTCATCATTTAGGATTTTCATTCTGTTCTGTCTTAAGTGAGATTGTGACTATATTCCATACCTTGAGGGTCTACAATGGAAGGAGACATCATCTACTATCTCAATTCTGGCATTGTCTAATAATATAACTCAAAGTATAAATTGTTCTTTTCTAAAATTATGAGATGGTGGGGTTGTTTTATTCTTTTTAATTATATTTTATTGATTATGCTATTAGAGTTTTCCCAATTTTCTCCCCTTTACCCTCCTCCACCCTGCATCCCCCAACCCTCCAGCATCCCCTCTTTATTCATGTCCATGGGTTGTGCATATAAGTTGTTTGAGTTCTCTGTTTCCTGTACCATTTTTTACCTCTCCCCATCTATTTAATGCCTACCAATTATGCTTCTTCCCAGTACCTTTCTTCCCATTTCTCCCCTCCCCCTTCCCACTGAAAACCCTCCATGTGATGTCCATTTCTCTGATTCTGTCCCTGTTTCTAGTTGTTTGCTTAGTTTCTGTTTTCATTGTTTTTCTTTCTTTTATTTTTTTAGGTTCATTTGTTGGTAGTTGTGAGTCTGTTGTCATTTTACTGTTCATATTTTTTATCTTCTTTTTCTTAGATAAGTCCCTTTAACATTTCATATAATAATGGCTTGGTGATGATGGACTCCTTGAACTTGAGCTTATCTGGAAAGCACTTTATCTGCCCTTCCATTCTAAATGATAGTTTTGCTGGATAGAGTAATCTTGGATGTAGGTCCTTGCCTTTCATGACTTCAAATACTTCCTTCCAGCCCCTTCTTGCCTGCAAGGTTTCTTTTGAGAAACCTGGTAGCCTATGGGCACTCCTTTGTAGGTAACTCTTTCCTTCCCTCTTGCTGCTTTTAAGATTGTCTGTCTTTAATCTTGGATAACTTAATGATGATGTGCCTTGGCGTGTTCCTCCTTGGGTGCAACTTCTTTGGGACTCTCTGGGCTTCCTGGACTTCCTGAAAGTCTGTTTCTTTCACCAGATTGGGGAAGTTCTCCTTCACTATTTGTTCAAATAAGTTTTCAATTTCTTGCTGTTGCTCTTCTCCTTCTGGCACCCCTATAATTCAGATATTGGAACATTTCACGTTGTTCCAGAGATTCCTCAGCCTCTGTTCATTTCTTTGGATTCTTGTTTCTTCTTCTGTTCTGGTTGGATGTCTATTTCTTCCTTTTGTTTCAAATTGTTGCTTTGAGTGCTGGTTTCCTTCCTGCCACTGTTAGTTCCCTGAATATTTTGCTTTATTTCATTTCGGGTATCTTTCATTTGTTCTTTCATTTTTCAATGAAGCTCAATTAGTTCTGTGAGCATTTTGATTACCAGGTCTTTAAATTCTCCATCAGACAGGTTAGCTATGTCCTCCTCACTTAGCTCTCTTTCTGAGGTTTCACACTGCTCTTTCATTTGGGCCCTATTTCTTTCCTCCAGGCCCCTGATAAGTTGTAAGGGGGAAGGGCCATAGGTATTCACCCAGGCAGGGCAACAACCCTCCTTGCTGCACTGCAGCACTGCCTGTGGGGGAGGGGCCAGAGAGGGAAAAATGCAGCTCACTTGCTGGTCTCTAGCGCACTTTTCAATGAACTCTTGTGTGAGACTGGCAGTTTCTCCCACTGAGGCAACCCCAGCCATAGTCCACAGTCAGCTCTGAGTCTCAGTTTCCCCTTAAGTTAGGCCTTCCCTTGCAGCCTGCTGCCTGGCCACACCCAGTCCCACCCCTATGGTCTGTTGCCTCACCAAGGTTTCTCTCCGTCTGCTGCCTTACCAGTCTTGTTGTTCTGGTTGATTTTTTCTTTAATCCTCTGGTTGTCAGAGTTCCATACAGTTTGATTTTCTGGCACTACTGGTTGTTTTTCTTCTTTTGGTTGTTTGAGAAAGCAAAGAGTTTCTACTTATGCCTCCATCTTGGCCGGAACTTGTTTTATTCTATTTTTGTTTTGTTTTATAACTCTCTCTTTATTCCCTTACCTATGTAACAAGAACCTGCTTTGAGACTCTAAAAATTTTAAAGCAAGGAAATGTATTCCAGAGAATGTCATCAAAAATAATAAAATAAGAATGTGCTTCAAACACCATAAGTGTATTTGATATTTAATAACTAAAAACAGTTTAGGAGTTACCTACATTTTTAAATATTCAATTTCAAAATATCTGAATCTGACTTGATGCAGAAAATGTTTAATTTTCAAAACAATATTAAAGTAAAAACACCATTAAATTTACTAGGGGCCAACTTCTTCAGCAAAGTAAACAGGAACAGACAGAGGATGTGATGGACATGATCTGTTGCATACACCTTGATATGCAGTGCTATGCAGTGCTACACCACACCCCATCACAACACTGTAGTATAGTTTTTTCCAAATTCTAAAGGATAAATTGATCCTTATTAATAAATTTGTTTGGGATTTTCTCCGGAAACGTGTCTTTGTTTTCTCAACAACCGATCTGAATGCAGGTTTGTATCTAGAGTATTTGAATAAAAACTCAAGCCTCTCCTGGTTTATGCAGGTGTGGAGTCTTTAAATAGACACAGTGCATAGAGAAACTGATGTTTGGGAGTAGGGATACTGGTAACATTTTTAGACTCTAAATATCAGGGCACTCCAAAAAAGGAGGGTAGGGTGAGTTAAGGCACTTTCAGAATTCTCAAAAACATGAGGAATATTCAGATGATAGTTTAAAGAATTTGTACTAGGTCCCATTTCTTAAAATCTATTTTAATTCACCTCAAGTGCTATATAAAATTTTGGTATTTGCTTTTTGGTACCACTGCGTCAGAACATGGTTTATCCTCACTGCCCCTATTTTCTCACAACCAGAGAAGGGTTTTCATTGCCACCTCTTATGGAACTGCTCTCCCACACTCTGGAAAAGATCTGTGCCTCTCCAAACTTTGTGGTCTTTCTGGGTCTTCATTTTCTTCCACTTCTCCAAGGCATTTTATTTACTCCACAAATATTTATTGAGTACCTAGTAGGTTCCAGACACTTGACACCACTGGTGATTTCTATTTCACCACACTCCCCCTTTCCTTCATTTCTCTGGCACTACCCTGATGGAACATTGCATACTTACATTTCTGACCTCTCCTACCCCTTGGCTCCCTCACCTCACTTCCCTGTCCTCTGCCTTTCCATGAGCAAAACATCTAGCCTTTTCCTGATACTCCATGCTTGGATTTCTATTCTTCTTTGGAGTGACTTCCAACGACTACAAAGACTTTCTTGGAGAACTTCATTTTCATAACCTTAGTTACTGCGGTTTTAATGATGATCCTTAGATGTGTGGTTCTAATCCTAGTCAAAGTTCCTATCCCATATATAAGGTATTTTATTTGATTAAGCCACCACAATTAGACGTCTTAACACTTTCTACACATGCCTTGCTCCTTCCTGCCTCTGCCTTTGCTCATGCCATGGCTGATGTCTCAAATACCTTTCTCCCTCCTCCTAACCCATCCACACCCTTCTAAATCCAACTGAAGTCCTATCCTTTCCCACAAAACATTCATC